TTTTGGTAAAAAAGTTACAAAATATTTTAAAAGGAAAACTAATGAAAATAGCTTGAAAACTTTAAATTTTAACGATAAGGACAAAATAAAGGGTAAAGTGAATAATACTATGATTGACTTTTTTGTGTGAAAAATGTGATTTTTTGTTAAAGTAAACAGTACCGAAAGTTTTTCGTTAAAGTTCCTTTTTTATTAATCTTAGGTAATTCAATTTTGTGCTTTTGAGAGGAGGTCTTGTGCCATAGTGGAAATCAATTACTATTGTAACCGTCTTCATACAAATTTGAGTCTCCCCACCTGTCCCTTATCCTAAGAAACCCTAAATATATATTTTGTTTCTAGCGAGAAGTCGATTAAGATAAATTCTAGCAATTTATATTGACCTTAGCTGCATGTGGTACACGATACTAGTAAATAGGGTGTCAAGTTATTACTTATACGCCTCAGGTTCGAAACTATCCAATTTGAAACGAGTTCCCTTCCATGGACTTACTCGAAGTGCTGGCTAGAAATTAACAACTTCGACTATTGTATTTGGTAGATGCTCTCATGCGTCATCACTAGGGCTGGAAAAAATTCCCGAAAATCCCAAAGCAAATAAAAAAAGTCCCTAACCCAAACCGAAAAATCCCAAACCAAAACCATCCTGAAGTTTGGTAATCCCATCCCAAAAAATACCGAAATTTTCGGTATAGGATTGGTTTCCAAATTCCATTTGATTGGTAATCCCGAAATCCCGAAAAATACCGAAATATTCGGTTTCTTATTGACTTTTGGGTTTCGGTTCCCACTTCCCAACTCAAAAAGTAGAGCCTTTTGGCTCCCACTAACAGAAGGCACAAAATAATATTAAAAAAAGAAAGAAAAGTAAAGGCACAAAATTCAATTGGCTTTCGGTTCCCACTTCCGAACTCAAAAGAAGGAGCCTTTTGGATCCCACTAATAGAAGGAGGAATGAGTAGAAACAGGATGGAGTAACACTCTTCGTGTTGAGAAGCAGAGAGATGAAGAAGCTACTACTGCCGAAAGCTCTCTCAAATCTTCGAAGCTTTCTCATCTCTAGTATCAACCTATCTCATTCTCTATCCTCTCTAAAGCTTTCTCTGAATTAGGGTTCGTTTTGGATTTGGATTTGGATTTGGATTTCCATGGTTGATTTCTGCTTTGCATGTTCGATTTCTGGATTTCCATGATCGATTTCTGCTTTGCATGTTCGATTTCTTTTCTGCTTTGCATTCTCGATCTGCAGGTTCGAATTGAATTTATCAGCTTCTTTCGTTAACAAGAAGACAAATTTCTGCACTCTGATATCCTAAATTTATTTCGGGAATCCTGAAATTTGGTAATACCTAAGAATCAGTTTGAGATCGGGATTCGGATTTTCATCCCAAAAAAGATCGGTTTGGGATTCAGGATCCCATTTTCGGGACGGGATCCCATATCAGACCAGCCCTAGTCATCACCTTGTTGCCTCAAATAATCAATAATATGTATGTATGTGTATTTAACTAGATGACAACGTTCATGATTTCTCCGTATATCCAAATTGATGAAAAGCGAAGATTCTACAAAATCACTCAGAATGTTCACTTGGCTAATTTATTTGAAAAATAATATAACAGTTTGCATTTACGATTATATTAGTTTTCTCAAATATCTCATTTTTTATGCCTCAAAATTAAAATATACATCGTTTTCGGAATGGAAAAAAAAAGAATCTAGTATGTAAGTAAAGAAAGAACAAATTGCACAATAAATATACAAACGAGTACCGATTAATTTCATGAACTTACAAAGAATCATGAACATGAGATGTTGTCTCATGATAGACATGAACAAGATAACATAAAAACTATGAATCACTTTCATTTCACTAAAATCATATAAAACGTGTTATAAATTTATAACGCGTGAACTAGTAACATTATCTAACACGAGTAAATATAATGCTCAACGAATTGGGCCTATTGGCCCATCACCAGTCTTTCTAATCTGGGCCGGACCAGCCCCGCGAGTAGGACAGTCTTCGGTCTTCCCACCAAACCTTTTGGATCTTGGGACCAAGAATTTGAGAAATCCAATCGCTGCTGTTGCCTGCTGGTACGCGCGCGTAAAGACACGGCCGAGAAGAAAGAAACTACGACGGAGCTACATTTCTTCGTCTTCTTCCTTGGCACTCTCTCTGTATCTATCTCCCTCTCCTCGCAGAAAGAGTGCTAAGCCTCTCTCTCTCTCTCTCTCTCTCTCTCTCTCTCTTTCTCTCTCTACCTAAACGTACCCTCTGAAACCCCTTTCTAATTTCGCTTGAATAATTTCAAATTTATCATCCCACCACATCAATTTCTCGACCCCTTTATCGAATTTGATATCTTTTTGTTTTTCCGATTTCCCATTGGATTTTATCAGAACCCTCGAGTTTCTTTGTTTGTTCTGCCCGGTGGTTCTCGATCGGCGTCTGTTCGAGTTTGGAATTCAGAAATTTAGGGTTTGATCGGTGGGGTCGGGAATAGAAATCATGATTAAACCCAAGTGGTTTTTGGGGGAGAAAAATTCCCAATTTCGTGGGCTTTTCAATGGAATTTGTACTTTGGTATTGGTCTTCTTGTTCTACAGCCAGGACAGTTTTCTAAGAAACCCTTTTCTGGGTAGCTCGCATTCGGTTCTTCCTCCTCGATGGAGCTCCAAAGTCAATGGATTTGGCGATCCGGGTAGTCGGGTTGATATTATTCGCAGGAGAATGGCCGAAATTGATGTTTCTCCTTCGAATTATAGTGTCAGTGTTAATGAGTCGGATGCCAAATCGTTATCAGAACCTAATCCCGAATTATGCATCGGGTTGTTCAAACACGAAGGTTATGGGAGCAAATGTGAGTTCTTGATCGCCCATCCGGAGTGCACTTCCGGTGGTTATTTTAATTACATTCATTTCTTTTACTGCACCTGTGAGAAAGTTAGCATTTTGGGGTATGTAGTGTTGGCAATATGGTTAGCTGCTTTGTTCTATCTATTGGGCAATACCGCCGCAGATTATTTTTGTTGTTCTCTGGAGAAGCTGTCGAGTCTCTTGAAGCTACCGGCGACTGTGGCCGGTGTGTCTCTGCTTCCGCTCGGGAATGGTGCTCCTGATGTGTTTGCCAGCATTGCTGCTTTTGTGGGTAAGGATACCGGGGGAGTTGGTCTTAATAGTGTGTTGGGTGGAGCTGTCTTTGTTACTTGTATTGTTGTCGGGACTATATCCCTATGCGTGGCGGACAAGGGGTTTCAGATTGATAAGAAATGCTTTATCAGAGATATATGTTTTTTCCTCTTTACTGTTATGTCTCTTGCCTTAATGTTGATGGTCGGTGAGGTTACTGTCGGGGGTGCTATAGCGTTTGTCTTGATTTATGTGGTTTATGCGTTTGTGGTCGCTGCAAACGAGCTTCTGAGGAAACATGTTCGGAAATTGAAGTTGGATGCTGTAACACCGTTGCTACCGGTCAGGGGAAGTATATTTTCTCAGGGACGCGACGAGGAGGAATCTGTATATGCTTCGCTCCTTGAGTCTGAATCAGACAGTGAGGTACCTCATCTCCTAAGTAAGTTGCCACAGTGGATGTGGGCATCAAATGTGGCAATTTATTCGAATCAGAATGTGAAGGCTTGTTCAGACAGTCCAAGGTCATTGTGGGGTTGGAACGAGGATGAAACAGTGAAGGAAAACTCTTCCTCTTTTAGATTTTTATCACTGCTGGAAATTCCGTTGACGCTGCCAAGACGGTTGACAATCCCTATAGTCGAGGAGGATAGGTGGTCCAAAGGTTATGCTGTTGCCAGTGCTGTACTAGCTCCCATTCTTCTGTTATTTTTATGGAACACCCAAGAAGATGTTGGATCTCTGAGTAAGGAAATTGCCTACTTTATAGGCTTTCCCTGCAGTGGTGTCTTTGGTATTCTTGCATATCTACACACAAGACCGGACCAGCCCCCTCAGAAATTTTTATTTCCATGGGTTTTAGGAGGGTTTTTTATGAGCATCATCTGGTTCTACGTTCTTGCAAATGAGCTGGTCGGGTTGCTGGTGGCGTTTGGCGTAATTTTTGGAGTAAATCCATCAATCCTTGGATTGACTGTATTAGCATGGGGCAACTCAATGGGTGATTTAATGTCGAACACTGCATTGGCAATGAATGGTGCAGATGGTGTACAAATTGCAATGTCAGGATGTTATGCCGGGCCTATGTTTAACACACTTGCTGGTTTGGGGATCTCAATGGTCCTTGCATCCTGGTCTCAGAGACCGAAACCATACAAAATTCCCAAAGACAATAGCCTGTTTTATACAATGGGATTTCTAATATCAGGGCTTCTTTGGTCACTTGCTGTGCTACCGAGGAGTGGCATGCGCCCTAACAAGACCTTAGGACTCGGCCTCATAACCATCTATCTGGTATTTCTCTCCCTTAGGCTAGGCACGTCAATGGGTTTATTGTGGTAGATCTATGAGGAAGATCTCATTGATTGATAACTAAAAATATGTTGTGTCTTGTACAGTGTTGAGTTGGAATGGTAATGTTGACGCTATTATTTGTGTCTTTCAGCATTGTTAACTGATGCCGAATTATTATCCCAGATAATGTATTACAACTTCCATGTTAATATGAAAACGAGTTTTTGTTTCCACGAATTCAATTTGCCTACTTGTATAACCAACCTTATGGTTATTTGAGATTGTTATTTCTCTGTGGCGTTTTACACCTCTATTTGGTGATGGAATGTTGCGATACTTCTATTCATTAATCGGTTTGTTATGTATGGTTCTGTTGAAGAATGCTTGGCATACTTTTGTAACATTTCCCGTGCCTACTGCGAACTGGTTAACTGAACCGGGCATCTCAGCTAATGTTTAGATTTCGCGGTGCATGCCTGCCTGCGAAGTCGGTAGAAACATAAAGCTGAGATGTCCGAAGGCCCGTGGACAGAAATCTTGCACCAGTACTCGGTAGGTTAGCATCAAAGATGTTGTCATTTATCCGTCTCTTATAAGCAAATTTCCCATCCCATTAGTTGTAGCAAAAACATGTTTCATTTCAGAAACGTTTCCTTTGTTTGAAATTCCCCGTTTTGGCAACTGAGAAAAGTAAAATGCTGCAAACTAAATGATTATCCATCAAACAATCCATGAAAAATGAAAATTAAAGGATTAGCAGCTTCCAAAATGCAGAAAATTGAACTCTCGTCTGCTGCAGAATCGCAGATCATCCTGTTTCGACGTGAAATCAAGGAAAGCTTCTCTTTAGAATCTGTATAAAATTTAACACCTGGTGGATTCACCATAGATGTAGTCGAGAATCGTAATGATTCCAATAACGAAAGCTTGATCCGTTCCCGGTGTCACCACGACATGGTAGAGATCCTCGCTTGCCATCAGTTCCTTCTTCACCCCGATCTGCGTTTCATTTTAAACAACGTGGAGTCCACACCTTAATCATTTCAGAAGCAATTTACAAACAAAGAAAGTCTTATATGTTCATCGCGAATGCAAATTACTTACCTGTGCCATTGTTTTGCCCTTGGAGTCAACAATACAACAATCCTTATCAGGAAAATTGCCCTTGATCTCAAAGTCCCAGTCTTTGTTCTTCGTGGCTTTCATTGAGATTCTGATTGCTTGAGTCTTTGCCAAGCACGAGTTTGGCTCTTTTAAACAGAAAACCATCTGGTCCTGCGATCCTTCGTAGTCTAAACTGTACCCCCTCCATCTCCGATAAATGCTTAGGGCCTCGACGGTTGCACCCTGGTACAGATACGAGTCAAAATGCATGAGCTTAATTGATTAAGCATCCCTAACACCTCTGCATGCACATGTACAATTCAAAAGATACACGTATATGCGTGATTGATAGTGTACCTTTCGGCGAAAGAGAAGCAAGGCGTCTCCATCACTGTCCCTCAGAATCATCTCATCCTTTTTCCCCAGAATTCCACATCCGTCAACCTTGAAAGCAACCTTCTGACTGCAGTCCGTAACCACAAAACCACCTCCGCTTATCACGTGCGGCCTCCTCCTCACGACAAGCACAGCCTGAGAAGACGAACAGTACATCTGGCTAATTATAGGCATGACGGTATTGTCTTTTGCTGCCATCTCTTTCTTTGATATCTACCGGAGACTGTTCTACTGCGCTCGATGATAAACTTCAAGCTTGATCTCGTTGCTAACAAGGGTCTTTTCTTTTATACACCAAGCTTAGAGAGAGACTAGTTGTTTCTTGCGCAACAAGAGTTGGAGGAATATCTGATTTCAAATGTTTGGCAAGTCTTGACTCTGCACTGCATATACAATATCTATTAGTTGGAATAATATCTGAATTCGAATGTGCTTGGCAGAGATGCAGTTGCTTGCTCGAGACGACGATTTCTGGCCAATGAGACGGCAGAGTTTTCGGGTGGGATCAACAGTTTTCCTCAAGGTAAGAGGCTTTTGGTTTAATCTTTAAAAGAGGTAGACCAAGTTTCTTAATTTGGTATAGCTTTTTGTTTAATTATCTGAGTTTGGTAGCTCAAAGTCTTAAAAGAGAATACTTCAAAGTGTAAAGCACTTCGAAAGCATCTTGTTTGGAGTCCCAATTGGACTGCAGTTCAAAGAATCGTTCATATCTTCATGTGAGCTTTTGAATTATTGCAAGAGATGCTTGTCACCTTTCAAAGTAAGCAATATTTAACAAAAGGATTCAACTCCATATAATTATGTTAATTTTGCACTTAAAGTTGTATCCAAGGGAAGGGTGGGAAACAAAAAAAAAAAAAAAAACCCAAAATTGGGGCTCAAAAACCTCTCCAAGGCATGTATTTTGGGAAGAGAGTTTTGGGATTTTGTGTTTGGGGTTGGGAATTTGGGATTGGTACCCACTACCCACCCCAGATAGATAACAGCATCTCTAAATGAGATGTCAAAAGATAAATGTCAAATGTTAATTTGATGGCTAATGTCAGATTTTCTCTTTTTCTAACCGATATATTTTTTTGTTATAAATGATATTTGTAGGACTCATTTTAAAAAAAAATAAATTAAAATAAATTTTCAAGATTTATAATTGGTACATTTTTGGGACCCACACAATAAAATAATTAAAAATTATTTGACATCGCCTTTTCTCATATGTCAAATTTGACATATGAAAACTCATATTTCAATCCACATAGGACATATCGGTTGGAGTTTGATCCTACCTTTAAATTTGATTACATGGCATTCCATTTAGAATTTGATATCTTATTCGGAGATGGTCTAAGGTTGCACAAGTGAGCAGAGGGAACCACAATTCACCACTTGCAAATTGAAGAGCAGATAGAGGTAGGCCTAGCGTGTCTACAACATTAGCAGGAACGGTTGTATGCTGGTGAGCGCATGGAAGACACAATTTCTACGGCCTAAAGGGTCATTCAGATCCAATGGTTGGTGCACCTCTTGAGTTTTGATCCAAAGTGGCGTGCCCAACTTCATTCATTTATGAGATTTTAAACCCTTGAGTTGCAGATAGCCTAATTGCCCCTTAAAAGTTGTTTTGGATTGTGTTTTATGGTCCATTTCTAATTGGATTGTGTTTTGTGGTCCATTTCTAACCTACAATATAGGAGCATAAGCAACATTCTTATCAAGAGCATGTGTCACCTGAATTCAATCACGAAGTACAAGTACAAAATGCCATATGGGGAAAATGGCCTACCAATCCACTGGCTCATATGCCAAACTAGACCTGCAAAACGGGTCAAGTTTATTGGATTTGGGTTGGGTTTCATCCGATCCGTTAAGTTAACGGGTCATCCAAACCCAACCTGTTAAGATAACGGGTCATCCAAACTCAACCCGTTAAGCTCATTGGTCACCCGCTTCATCCGTTTCACCCCGTTAAGACCCATTAACAATTTCTTTTTTGTTTTGTGTTTAATTTTGCATTCCAATACAAGTTACACATTTGAATCAAAATTTCAAGCATGGAGGTACAACACATTTGGAAGCCGCAAATGCAAAGTTCATTGTCCACGTGAGCCGATAGTATAAGACCTCCCAATTACGAATAAATACGAATGTTACCGATCCTCTACTCAACCTAATGGTTGAGTGCACTTGCATGAAATTTTTGGTTGATGCTGGTGTTGCTATGCTATTGTCGAAGCGTATATTATATTGTTATTTTGCTTGAATAAGAAAAAATAATAAGTTAGAAGACAACAAACATGATTAAACACGATCCCGTGAGAAGCTAAAAATGGTGTATACATTGCTTGAATATCCATATACGTTTATCATTTTCTAAAAGAAAAGATAGATACATGGCAGTTTTGAGAACACCATGAAGAATCAGGGTCCAACTGGTAAAAAGGAAACTGTTGTGGACCAAAACCTGAAAACGCGACTGGACTGGTCCGATACCCTCCCAGTTCCAAACTCACAGGAGCTGTGTAGATCGCATCGCAGTGCAACGAGCAGCAAGCAAAAGTTTATGGGTAAACTTCCACTGCCTTTGAGGATTAATTAATCGTTAATTAGCTTATAATCTCAATTAGTATGCTGCTCTCAAGTTCTTTCACTTCCATAAGCTTCCCTTCACCAAACTTTAATCTTCCCCGCAATCGCAGCCCGAAACGAATCTTGAAAATGGCAGAAGCTGCAAAAAACCCAGGTCAGAAATTTCATCGCCTCAAGTTGTATATGTTTGTCTGTGAATTTCCATGTTCTTATTGCCATCTTGTTTCAGTGGGTCAGCAACAGAAAATCATCGTACCCAACAAACACGGTGAAAAGCTTGTGGGATTGTTACACGAAACCGGTTCCGCGGACCTTGTAATCTTATGTCATGGTTTTCGAGACACCAAGGTTGAATTTTTGATACATCAAGTGTTCTTATCATTGTTGTTGTTGTTGTTGGATTCGCTTCCAGCTTGATTAGGATGTTCTTAATTTAGGTTTTTTTCTAATATTTCGTTCACAATCTATCGTCCAACTTTGATTTTTAGATGATTTAGTTTGTCATTTGAAGACGACGATGTTTAAGAATTGATGAATAAAGAATAATGCACCCTGGGTGGGTTCGATCCTCACCGATTCCCTACCCCCTGACAACTATCTAACCCACTAACGCTATCGCTCTACTGAAAGAAAAGAAACACGACATCGTTGGTGGAAAATTGTAATGCTTGGTTGGCAACTTGGCATCATTGTGGGCAAAGTTCACAGCTTGTGTCTCTTGATTTCCAGGAAAACTATATTATGGTGAACCTTGCTGTTGCACTGGAAAATGAAGGGATCAGTTCCTTCCGTTTTGACTTTGCCGGAAATGGGTAAGGCTGTCGAATTACAGGGTTTGAAATTCTTGAATATAACAGGATTTGTGTAGAGTTTCGTTGTGTGCACCTCGTTTGTTTCATAGCTGCAAGCATGGCTCTGTCTTCGCCATACTGTTCCTACTTGCAAAGTTTGCGTTGTTGTCAGTTTGAGATCTAACGATTACATTGATGCTCATTAGTTGTGGGATCTTGGTTGTCAGGGAAAGTGAAGGCACCTTTCAGTTTGGTAACTATCGGAGAGAGGCGGATGACTTGCACTCTGTGGTCAAGTACTTCTCTGGGGCAAAACGTGCACCCAGTGCAATTGTTGGACACAGTAAAGGTACATTGGATTGTTTTGCACAATCGTTATGTAAGATTTTATTCGGATCAAATAAAGAACAAAATGCTATTGATGAATGTTTTGAATGAGTAATTTCGTACTGTGTACCAAAGGTTTTGCTGAAAATTGTTACTACAGGAGGCGATGCTGTGCTCCTGTATGCTTCAACCTATCATGACATTCGTACGGTTGTCAATGTTTCTGGACGTTATGATCTGAAGAAAGGCATCGAAGAACGCTTGGGGAAAGACATTATGGAAGTAATCAAGAAGGAAGGGTTCATTGATGTTAAGAATAAGTCAGGTAATTTTCTAATTCCTATCGTTTGGTGAATTGCAAAATACGTTTATGAGGGCAGATGTATGCAGATGAATTGCGTAATTTTCAGTAACACATGCACACACTTAAAACACACAAAAACGAGCAACGCGTATGCTGGTGTTTAACAAGGTTAATGGATGCTATGCTTGTAGGAGATGGTAGTTATCGTGTGACCGAGGAGAGTTTGATGGATCGCCTAAGTACTGATATGCACCAATCATGCCTTCAGATTGACAATGAATGCCGGTAAGCAAACTTTAGTTAACTCGGTTCTTATGGTTTCATGTTTCCTCTCTTTTTGTTGCATTTCCCGCATGACCAAGTTGATCGGCCATTATCCACATACAGGGTGGTGACAGTCCATGGAACTGCCGACGAGGTCATCCCTGTTGAAGATGCATTAGAGTTTGCCAAGATAATACCTAACCACAAATTACATCTTATAGAAGGGGCTAATCATTCGTACACCTCGCATCAAGCCGAGTTAGGATCGCTCGTCGTGGACTTCATTAAGGCAGCCCTGCAGCAGGACAAGGCTACTTCAAACTAGATACTCTGCCAATCAGCATATGAATTTCTCAGAGTGTTGCACCCGTTGAAGACTCAGCCGGGTGGAGTCCTTATCTTGAATTTTGATGTTGCTTGGTACATACATGCTTTGCCACAAATTTGTGCTTAGTAATCGAAATCTCATCTTCTCGATGGTCAATTGTACGCGAATTCAACGGACTGTTTTCACCTCAGAATTTGGTATAATCGGTAAATTTATACCTCAAAGATCAATAAAATAACACAATGAACAATACTAGCAAGTCGTAATTAGGCCTGGTACTTTGAAACTAACCCGTTAACCCGACCCGATCCGACCCAACCTGTTAATATTTGTATTTGGATGGATGCTTAACGGGTCGAGTCGTTAACGGATGAACCCGTTAACAACTCGTTAAATAACGAGTCACTTTGGGTCAATCCGTTAGACCCGTTAGTTAAGGATATTTTAATAATTTTAGTAAAGTCTTAATAACAAAAAATAAATTTTATGCAAAAAAAAAAAGAAAAATTGTTAACGGGTGTTAATGGGTGACCCGTTAGCTTAACGGGTTGGATTCAGATGACCCGTTAGCTTAACGGGTTGAGTTCGGATGATCCGTTAACTTAACGGATCGGGTTCAATCCAACCCAAACCCAATAAACCCGACCCATTTACAAGTCTAGTCGTAATGTGTAATCATATAAACTAGAATTCAGGTCCATACGAGCGCACATAAAAGTATCACATAATTATGAGTTCAAAACATCATCTCAGTTCCCTAGAATCCGGAGTGCAGCAACTGCTCGCTTTAGAGCTCCAATTCCGACATAATTATGAATGAAAGAATATCAAGTTGAACTGACATAAAGAGTAATTATATAACGTAACGGTAGGTGACATATCGCCCTGCAGTCTCACTTGGTCGAATTATCTTCACAACTTGTGCGCGCTTAAGCCCGTAGTATTTCGCAATTGGATCAGTCACCTGAATCCGAGGGAGCTGGACAGTAAAAAACACAAATACAAGAGAAACAGTTAGTATGCAGATTTCCCTAATTTGCCACAGATATGCAGGTTAAGATATGTTTGGAAAACAAACGTAAAATAGCCATTAGGAGGAGAGAGAAGGCTTTGTTACTTTGTCGTAATAGTTTAGATGGTATTAAGACGCATTAAGCATGACTCTGTACTTGAGTTCATATTCCAACACAAACAGTTGAATAAATGAGGTGGTAGATTTGTAACACTTCTTAGTGTTATAAATCAAGATTTAAAGTCATGGCATGCCTTATGTAGCATCGGAATTTCGTAAATGCAAGATTAACAACAATGTGCAGCACTGACCTGTGTTTCTTTTACGGTGTATCTCTCCAGCAAAGTCTTCTTTTCCTCACTTGTAAGCACCCGATGCTCAGGAACTAGAACGTGTTCTTTAATATTCACCAACAATTCTGCCTCCTGAATCAGTAGAGACAGAGCAAACGTTAATATCCTCTAAGTTCGTATTGAAAGCACCTGATACAATTATAGGTGGAGCCAATTCTTTGTAAGTGGGGTAAAAATAATTCTCTTACAAAGCTGAAGTTAAAGCTGTATACCCAGAAAAAGCAAATCAAACAATGCAAAGTAATTATTCAAGATGACCCTAGCTAGGCCTCTTGGTTAAAAGATGACCTATGCATCCAACCCGTCCCTCTAAAAGGTAGGGCCATACCTACTCATCAGATTAACAATACTTTTACGAGCATTTGATCAGATAAAGGCCCTTAGAAGTTAGAATATAAACAAACTAATCAGGCAATTGCAACGGCAATTTGTATGTGTATAGCCTTCAAATTTCTGATACTAAGAACTCTGATATTTGTGGTTTAATTGATTAACGTGATATTCGTGAGGTTTCAAGAACAAAACTTCGTACTAACAACAGATTAAGCAATGAACCTCACCAGAAAAACCTCCAAGTGGAACTTTCCCGATATCTCACTGATACAGGTTTTTGCAAAGGGCGTCAGACTTTGTTGAGTAACCAAGATTGCTCGGAACACATTCTCCGATTTCATGCGGTTGGTATAAGTCTTCATTGTCTTGACCCCAACCTTTGGTTCATCAGGAAAGAAGACATAAATCTGAAACACATAAAGCAACAATCAGACACCGTCAACAGTTAAAGTACTACATCCACTGCAATAAAAAGCATCAGGGAAACACCTGATCATTGCTATCACTGCGCTTAGTTTTATTGATGATAAGATCTTCCCTTTTCATGTTCTCTCCGTATTTGTCCTTGAACTGTTCTTTTGACATGTTGATCTCAAAATCTCCAACCAAGTAATTCCGATCTTTCAGCATTTGCATCACAGTCTTTCGGACTCTGTAAAGCCTTGTGATTTCTTCTTCTGTTAAAACCATCTTCGTCTCTAATATGTTACAAAACACAGCTTGTCAGTTATGTTCCACTTCCTCCAGAAATACGAAATTTCGGTTTCACAAATATTACAACAAAAATCCCCATTTACAGCCTAAAATTCAACCTTTTATATTGAAAATTTGTCATATAGGCAGCCTGCCAATCTGCCAATCTGTTGGACATATAAGTATATAACCAAGCCAATCTGTGCACAAATCTGCCAATCTGCCAAGTATATAGCCAGGCTGAAAATTTGCCATATAAGAAGTCTGTAGCGGAACAGAAGCAAAAGGTTGAAAATAAAGGCAATCATTTTGAAGACATTAAAGAAGTCGGTAGCGGAACTTGAAACTAAAGTTGCGAAATCCTTTTACAAGGAACAAAGAAACAAAAGTAAAAAAGCTCTGATTGCAGAAGGTATTCCAAAAGCCCTAATTCAGAAACCCTAATTTCAAAATTCCTAATTCAGAAACCCAAATTCAAAATCCCTAATCGAATTTGGAATCAAACAATTTGTATGAACTTTGGTTGAGTTTATTGCAGCAGGAATTTCTTACCTTTTGCAGTGAGGAGGAGTGCGGACTGAGACCGAGCTCGATTCAGGAGCCGGATTCGGGTGGTATAGACAGTGGGTGAAGGTGCGATTCAGGTGAGGAGTGAGGATTGAGAGGAATGAGGACTGGTGTGGGTAGATTCGGGAGAGACAAATCGGCGAGGAGAGTGGTGAGGTTCCGTTCACAAGATACTGAGGTGAGGTGAGTTTGAGTCTGAGGGGAGAGGTGAGTGTGATAACTTTCATTTATACTCAACGAAATGCAGAAGCGTCTATTACAATTCTAAATATATATTTTAAAATTAAATAATATATAATTTTTTTTTCTGTTCGGTTGGGGATTACCAAAACCTCAAAAACTTAAGACCGATTTCTGTACTAAAATTTCAGGATCGGTTCGATATTGGGTACCAAAATTTTCGAGAATTTAGGTTTGGGATTTTTGAAAAATAACTAAATCAATACATGAAAATCATGATTAATTATTTTAGCCGTTGGATTTAAATTTAGACTGTTAGATTTTTTTTTTTACCGTTAGATTTGATTATATTCGATCTAAGCCGTTTGATTCAATATATATACATAAAAAACTAAAAAAAAATAAAAAATTGAACTTGGATGATATAAAGTAGCCAACGGTTATTTTTTACATTGGGCTGATGATATAAAGTATACAACAGCTACTTTTTGCATTGAAAGCTGGGGGAACACTCCCACATGAGGTTGCTTTTCTTCGACAGAAATGTGAGGCCCAATTTACTTTGTGGCTTAAAATGTGACGGGAATTTGGCCCCCATTTGGGTTTTAGGTTTTAGGTTTTAAGTTTATTTTAGGTCATGGGTTGGAGTGGGTTTTGGAGGGAAAAAAAAGGGAATTTTAGGTTATAAGTCATGGTTGGAGTTGGTCTTAGGCTAGGCACGTCAATGGGCTTATTGTGGTAGATCTATGAGGAATATCTCATGGATTGATAACTAAAAATATGTTGTGTCTTGTAGTTAGACCTGTAACCGGGTCGGGTTTATTGGGTTTAGATTGGATTCAACCCGACCCGTTAAGTTAACGGGTCATCCGAACCCAACCCGTTAAGCTAACGGGTCACTCGAACCCGACCCATTAGGCTAACGGGTCACCCGTTTCACCCGTTAACAATTATTATTATTTTTTTTGCATAAAGTTTATTTTTTGTTATTAAGACTTTACTAAAATTACTAAAATATCCTCAACTAACGGGTGTTAACAGGTCCTAACGGGTCTAACGGATTGATCCAAAGTGACCCGTTATTTAACGGGTTGTTAACAGGTTCACCCGTTAGCGACCCGACCCATTAAGCATCCATCTAAATACAAATATTAACGGGTTGGATCGGGTCGGGTTAATGGGTTGGGTCCAAAATACCAGGCTACTTGTAGTGTTGAGTTGGAATGGCAATATTAACGCTATTAGTTGCGTCTTTCAGCATTGTTAACTAATGCCGAATTATTATCCCGGATAATGTATTACAACTTCCATGTTAATACGAAAACGAGTTTTTGTTTCCACGAATTCAAGTTGCCTACTTGTATAACCAACCTTATGGTTACTTGAGATTGTTATTTCTCTGTGGCGTTTTACACCTCTATTTGGTGATGAAATGTTGCGATACTTTTTCATTAATCAGTTTGTTATGTATGGTTCTGTTGAAGAATGCTTGGAATACTTTTGTAACATTTCTCGAGCCTACCGTGAACTGGTTAACTGAATCAGGCATCTCAGCAAATGTTTAGATTTCGCGGCGCATGCCTGCCTGTGAAGACGGTAGAAACATAAAGCTGAGATGTCCGAAGGCCCGTGGACAGAAATCTTACGCCAGTACTCGGTAGGTTAGCATCAAAGATGTTGTCATTTATCAGTCTCTTGTAATCAAATTTCCCATCCCATTAGTTGTAGCGAAAACATGTTTCAAGAATTCTTGTTTCGTTTTCTTTACGTTGTGGAATTGGTTTTCACTTTTCATTGCTTATTTATATAGAAACGGATTCTGTATCGACGGTTAGTACATTGGTGGTGCATCTTTTTGAGAAAAGTAAAATGTTGCCAAAAAACACGTAAAAGCTTTAACAGATGAGTTCCCAGTTAGTACAGGTTGGGGCAACTAAATGATTATCCATCAAACAATATGAAAAATGAAATTAAAGGATTAGCAGCTTCCAAAATGCAGAAAATTGAACTCTCGTCTGCTGCAGAATCGCAGATCATCTTGTTTCGACGTGAAATCAAGGAAAGCTTCTCTTTAGAATCTGTATAAAATTTAACACCTGGTGGATTCACCATAGATGTAGTCGAGAATCGTAATGACTCCAATAACGAAAGCTTGATCCGTTCCTGGCGTCACCACGACATGGTAGAGATCCTCGCTTGCCATCAGTTCCTTATTCACCCCGATCTGCATTTCATTTTAAACAACGACGAGTCCACACCTTAATCATTTCAGAAGCAATTTACAAACAAAGAAGGTCTTGTATGTTCATCGCGAATGCGAATTACTTACCTGTGCCATTGTTTTGCCCTTGGAGTCAACAATACAACAATCCTTATCAGGAAAATCGCCCTTGATCTCAAAGTCCCAGTCTTTGTTCTTCGTGGCTTTCGTTGAGATTCGGATTGCTCGAGTCCTTGCCAAGCACGAGTTTGGCTCTTTTAAACAGAAAACCATCTGGTCCTGCGATCCTTCGTAGTCTAAACTGTACCCCCTCCATCTCCGATAAATGCTTAGGGCCTCAACCGTTGCACCCTGGTGCATATTCGAATCAATATGCATGAACTTAAATTGATCAAGCATCCCTAATACCTCTGCATGCACATGTACAATTAAAAAAATACATGCATATGCGTGATTGATAGTGTACCTTTCGGCGAAAGAGAAGCAAGGCGTCTCCATCACTGTCCCTCAGAATCATCTCATCCTTTTTCCCCAGAATTCCACATCCGTCAACCTTGAAAGCAACCTTCTGACTACAATCCGTAACCACAAAACCACCTCCGCTTATCACGTGCGGCCTCCTCCTCACGACAAGCACAGCCTGAGAAGACGAACAGTACATCTTGCTAATTATAGGCATGGCGGTATTGTCTTTTGCTGCCATCTCTTTCTTTGATATCTACCGGAGACTATTCTACGGCGCTCGATGACGAACTTCGAGCTTGATCTCGTTGCTAACAAGGGTCTTTTCTTTTATACACAGCTTACAGAGAGACTAGATGTTTCTTGCGCAACAAGAGTTGGAGGAATATCTGATTTCAAATGTTTGGCAAGTTTTGACTCTGCATAAACAATGTGCATTAGTTAGAAGAGTATCTGAATTCAAATGTGCTTGGCAGAGATGCAGTTGCTTGCTCGAGACGGCGATTTATGGCCAATGAAACGACAGAGTTTTCGCGTGGGATCAACAGTTAAGAGACTTTTTGGTTTAATCTTCAAAAGAGGTAGACCAAGTTTCTTAATTTGGTTCAGCTTTTTGTTTAATTATCTGAGTTTGGTAGCTCAAAGTCGTAAAAGAGAATATTTCAAAGTGTAAATCTCTTGGAAAGCATCTTGTTTGGAGTTCAAAGAATCATTCATATCTTTATGTGAGCTTTTGAATTATTGAAAGAGATGCTTGTCACCTTTCAAAGTAAGCAAAATTTAACAAAAGGTTCAACTCCATATAATTATGTTAATTTTGCACTTAAAGTTGTATCCAAGGGTAAAAACCCAAAATTGGGGCTCAAAACCTCTCCAAGGCATGTATTTTGGGAAGAGAGTTTGGGATTTGGTGTTTGGGGTTGGGAATGATTGGTACCCACTATTCACCCCAGATACAATGTGCATATACAATGTGCATTAGTTGGAAGAGTATCTGAATTCAAATGTGCTTGGCAGAGATGCAGTTGCTTGCTTGAGACAGCGATTTCTGGCCAATGAAATGACAGAGTTTTCGCGTGGGATCAACATTTAAGAGGCTTTTGGTTTAATCTTCAAAAGAGGTAGACCAAGTTTCTTAATTTGGTTCAGCTTTTTGTTTAATTATCTGAGTTTGGTAGCTCAAAGTCGTAAAGGAGAATATTTCAAAGTGTGAATCTCTTCGAAAGCATCTTGTTTGGAGTCCAATTGCACTGCAGTTCAAAGAATCATTCATATCTTTATGTGAGCTTTTGAATTATTGCAAGAGATGCTTGTCACCTTTCAAAGTAAGCAAAATTTAACAAAAGGATTCAACTCCATATAATTATGTTAATTTTGCACTTAAAGTTGTATCCAAGGGTAAAAACCCAAAATTGGGGCTCAAAACCTCTCCAAGGCTTGTATTTTGGGGTTGGGAATTTGGGATTGGTACCCATTATCCACCCCATATGGATAAGGTTGCAAATGGGCTGAGGGAACCACAATTCACCGGACTAGGATTCTCTTCTCTCCTTTTTTCATCATCTTCTATCTCCTCCTTTTACATTCTCTATTTTGTCTTTCTCTTTCTATAAAAAATTACTATAAGATGTTGACGTGGCTTAACCGTGACCGTTCAAATAGGAGGGGAGAGAAGGGGAGGAAAAAAAAGATAAGGGGAGAATCTGCAAATTGAAGAGCAGATAGAGGCAGGGCCTGTGTGTCTGCAACATCAGCAGGAACGATTGTATGCTGACGAGCGTAAGGAAGACACAATTTCTACGGCCCAGATTAAAGGGTCGTTCAGATCCAATGGTTGGCGCGCCTCTTGGGTTTTGATCGAGTGTGGCGTTCCCAACTTCATCCATTTTTAAGATTTTAAGCCCTTGTGTTGGAAATAGCTTAATTGCCTTTTAAAAGTTGTTTTGGATTGTGTTTTATGGTCCATTTCTAATTGGATTGTGTTTTGTGGTCCATTTCTAAACGACAATATAGGAACATAAGCGACATTTTATCAAGAGCATGTGTTACCCAATACAATAACGACGGACAAGTACAAAATGCCATATAGGGAAAATGGCCTACAAGTCCACTGGCCCATATGCCAAACTGAACAGGAAAGCCATCTTTCTAACTCATGTGATCGTTTATTTAAAACTCATTTCCTAGATTGGCTTGGTTAACCATCACAAAATGGCTCAGTGGTTGAAGATAAATTTTAAGTTTGTATTTCACACGGTACGTCTTTGTTTGATTTCTGGTGCTAGTGAATTACACGAGGGTGATCAGTGGGAGGTTCAAATGTTTTTGTGAGTCTTCCCATAACCCTGAAAAAGTAAACTACCGTAACGAAACCGCCAGCTAGTCCATTTTTTGAAAATTAAAAAAAAAAAATAATTTCCATGAATTTCGGTGAAGGACAATATGGTCATACTAGCGTACCAATGAACTGCACAAATAGGAAACGTCTATAAAATAGTGAAAAAAATTGTCACAATTCTAATTTGTGTTAAGTTCAGCCTTCAGTTATCAAAGAAGATCAATTAGCTCAAATCTCATAAACATGTCTTCACTTTAACGATTTTTCCTCTCTTTCACATTTTTCTCAAACTTTTCTATCTCCTGTATATTACCAACAACAGCAAAAAACTTTTATATTTACACTCACATTGTGTTTTATCTGGTGTATATTAACAAAACGTTAAAAGAAAAGATAAATTCTCCACTCGTCGAGCTCTCTCTCTCCCATGGCTTTTCCATTGATTTTGATGTAGCTAGAGGTTAGAAGCTACGATTTCAGAGATATTTTACTTTCAATACAATTGCGACTCGTTTCCCACTAGTTCAGTATGAATTTAAGCTGCAAAAGACTTTGTTAGGGCTTTGATTTGTTGAGATTCGAGGTAATTTAGTGTTCTTCAGCGTTGAATCGTTTCTTATGATTGGATTGAATTGTTTCGATCCACATTTTTTTCATTTTTTTTGAATTTGTTTTTTATTTTGTTGAAATTAATCCAATCAGTTTTTCAAAAATTGAAATAAAAATCAAATTTAGAAAAATGAATAAAAAGCGAATCGAATCAATTCAATACAATCATAAGAAACAATTCGATTCAATAGTCAAGAATACTAAATTTCCTCGAATCCCAACAAATCAAAGTCCTAACGGAATCTTCTACAACTCGAAATTAGACTAGATTAGTAGGAACGAGTTGAAATCGTATTGAAAGTAGAATACCTTTGAAATCGTAGCATCTAACCTCTAGCTCACATCAAAATCGACGGACAAGCCATGGGAGAGAGAGCTCCCGACAAGCTGGAGAATTTGTTTTTTTTTCTATGATTCGTTAATATACACTAGATGAAACACATTGCGAGCGTAAATAGAAAAGATTTTTGTTGTTGTTGGATAATATGTGGAAGATAGAGAAGTTCTAGAGAAATGTGAAAGACAAGCTTTGCCTGTGAGTCAGTGAGGGCATATTTGCCAAACAAGGTGACTGTAAGCGTGCGCACGTGTGGGCTGTTGCACGGGCAACTATAGCAAAGGAAGAAGAAGACGCCAACCATTACAGGCTTACAGCTTTTACACACCACTTGCGCACGTTAGCATCCTCACGGAGGAGAGAGAGAGAGGCAGTAGTGCCTTGGGTTTGTAGCCTGAGAGATGGTGGGCCCGGCCCACTGGACACGTTACCAGTGACCGATCGTTTTGCCGTAGTACTTTGGGAAAGAGCGGGAAATTCATCGGTTTACATTATGTGTCGCCTCAGCGGCGGGACCCACGCGAACGAATGAATTATAAGACACTGTGGTCCACCTCCTTCCACAAACGTGCCCACCCCACCGATGGCGCGTGGCGCTCAGAAACTAGTCCGCAACCGTGCAGAAGCCTCAAACTTGCGTAATTAGTTAGGGACTAGTATATGGCACACATAAAGTATGTGACAAAATTTTTTATTTTTATTTTTGAAATAGCAGGAGAGAGGAAGAAAGGAAGAGCGGAAGAGAGTGATAGAGAATGTGGGAGTGGGAATTTTTTTTTTTAAAATTAGAGATATGTTAGGATTACATATAGGTAAGACTTTGAAAAAAAAATCAAAATTTGGTTGTGTGAAATTACATTTCTGCTCCATATTTCTTATTAATATTTTGTTTTAATTAGAGGGTTAAACTAGTAATTTCATATAATTTTGGTTGACAATGAGTGTTTTATTAATTAATAGAGATAATGTTTTGTACGCACCTATTTTTATTTCTAACATATTTTTATTAATTTTTTATCATTAATTTTTTTTTTTAAATTCATTTGCTCCGACGATCAAAAATCGAGAGATATGTAAAAAGTAAAAATGGGTATTTGTGTTGAATAAATCACTGCCAACTCATCTCTGCCAGCTCATCAAAACAGTTGTAAAGGATTGGATGATGTAATAGTTAGTTGGAAGAGTTAATTAGTTCTTTAGTCAGCTATATATAGCTATTGTAAACAAATAGTAAAATTAGTTCTTTGAGTTTAATACAAAAGCTTCATTAATTTCTTTCTCACATTTCTCTTCTCTCTGTGAAACTTCATTTCTTGATTTTATAATTGTTCATCTCTGTTACTTCTCCAATGTAGTTAACAATTTGAATAATACTATTCTTGATTAATCTGATTTGGTAAATTCATTCTCTATTTCACTTAGGCCAATCGATCAAGACATCCCTAGTTCAAATTATCATTCCGCATCACAAACGATAGTCGGTTGAGTTTGGCACATGAAGCGGCGGGTTTGCGAATGGTTGAGTTTGGGTTGGGGGAAGAGGACATTTTTATTGTGTACATATATGTGTTAGTTAACTACAAGTCTACAAGCACGCATCAAACTCACAACATATCTATATCATGATTCTATTTTTGTGAAAGTCAAACGTAAGACAAAATCACTACATCAAAGAACTAATTGGTAATTGGCTTGACAAGTTTGTTTGCTCCGTTTGAGTTTCGAGTAATATTATGGTAGGGTCTTACCAATTTTATGCTTTCATACATAAATTTAAATAGGGTAAATTATACCTTATCATCTTAGATTTGAGGTTTATTGTAACCTCATATAACATCTTTAAAACATTTCACTTTCATACCTCAAGTACTATTTTATTTCAATATAATACATCCATTACATTTTCCATCTATTGATCCGATAAGAGCTGACGTGGCTGCTAAATTTCTGCCACATGCCAAAAAAAAAAATTTATACATTAATAATATTATAATAATTTATCCTATTGAAAAAAAACATTGAAACCCTCTCCCCCTTACCCACCTTCTCCTCCTCCACTCTCTTCACCTCCACTCCCATCTAAAAAACCCACCCCACCCCCACCTCTCCCACAACCCCCCACCCTACATC